AGATTGTGACAAAGCAACTGAACAGCATTAATTAGGAAAATAGTGTGTCAATAATGCAAAATGACAATAGTAAACACTCATTTTTCAGTTAAAGACAGTTCATCATTGAATTCAGTGATGTCAACATCCAGCTTAGTTCAGTTTAAATAATATCTTTGCAATCATGTCAACGATAACGCTGGAAATGAAGTGTCCCCAACTAAGCAAGCCAGAGGCGACAGCGGCAAGGAACCAAAACTCCATCGGTGACAGAATGGAGAAAAATCTCTCTGTCTGTCTGTATGTATGTCTGTCTGTCTGTCTTTCTTTCTGTATGTCTGTCTTTCTTTCTTTCTGTCAGTCTGTCTTTCTGTATGTCTTTCTGTCTGTCAGTCTTGTTTGTCTGTCAGTCTGTCTGTCTCTGTCAGTCTGTCTGTCTTTCTGTCTGTCTGTCTGTCAGTATGTCTTTCTGTCTGTCAGTCTTGTTTGTCTGTCAGTCTGTCTGTCTCTCTGTCTGTCTGTATGTATGTCTGTCTGTCTGTCTGTCTGTGAAATATCCAGCGCGTCTCTGCAGCGCACGTGCGAATGTCAGCGGGAGTAGGGCGAACTTAGATTTTCCACTAGTTCATCGATCGTGGATGGTTGCATTATTTCTGGGGGATAAAAAATCAATAACCCAAATTTGTACTGTTGAAATTGATATATGCCATACAGAAAAAGTGCAGGCCTATGGATTTTCAATCACTGTCATGAAAACTGTACCCATAATTTACATCAGGAAATATTGTCAGCATACGCATTACACTGTTATACTGACAACATGGCTAAGCATCTTTTTTGTGAACAATGGCACAGGACTTGTCATTCTGATAGCACTGATGTGTTCATTGACATTGGTGCTGTTTGAACAAACTGTTTCAGGAAATGCACTTTCTGGTTTGCAAATGTTAAGGATGATTCGAGAAATGTAACAAAGCATATTTTTCCAACACTGAATTTCTCAAACTCTGTAGCTATCTAGCTATCTGTGTACACTACCAGTCAAAAGTGAGGACACACCAGAATGAATTTATGATCTTCCATATCTTTTGTTTCAAAGGGTAACGTTAATAGCTCACTCAAATTCAGTCTCTTTAAATACTTTCATTTTGTTGCCATAATGTATAATTGTTGCCTTCACAGTAATACTTTTACCGACTAAAATTAAATACTGTCTAATTGACCTCTTTAAATAAATATATCAGTTGGACCGAATAGTGCAGGACAAGAAATTGAATGAAATAGGATCCAGGCTGATGGTTTAAGAATTTGATGTAAGAGAGGCTATAAAATATAAGCGCAAGAATGTGATATAAGCTTTGATATGTTTTATCATTTATGTTTTCGGTCAGTACATAATCCAACCATTTACAATTTAATTTTTCATTCTTTTAATGATGAGAATAGGTGAATCCGGGATTGGAAGTCCACTTTACCACCCAGTTTTAATAAATGGCTGTCTGAAACAGTTTCTGCCCTCAAGCTCGAAAAGATGAGTTTTTCTAAGATCGATGCTTCTAAAAAAAAAATTGGTACAATCTGGGGCCCCTTCCTCAGGTATATCTTTTTAAGAGTTGAAATTTGGATTTCTTTTGAACATATAGTAAGTGATCATCTTCAGAAGACTTGCCCCTTTCATTCAGTCAAACTAAAGTGGCGTTGCACAAACCTTTTGCAGTTGAGAATGATGTTTCTGATAATTCAACTATCCACGCGTTCTAAATGAAGTTTGAATTCAAACACAGCCCTTAATGCGCAAAAACAAACAAAAAAACAATATGAATCCTATTCAGTTCATGGACCGACATTGCTTTTCACGATAAAGATTTTATGAAAACAATTTATAAATGAACAATGAGCCCCATTACTCCACTATATACTTCTAGTGACTCATACAGCCGTAAACTGGTTTAATGTGCTTCAATATTTTGTCAATATTTGTGACTAAATGTTAACGTTTCCACAGGCGCCCGCCTCACCTGTTGTGTTAAACAGACAATAGAAAATAGCATAATGATAATATAATAATTTTGGTTTGCCAAGATGACATTTTTGGATCTGGTTAGAGGCAATGTCGTGTGCAAAACCGAGGAAGAAAACACTCACACGTTCACTATTTCTCAGAGAAGCCATCTGCCACTTTTTCTTCTCGGTATGCTGATTAAGTTGCAGTGCTAAATCTTTTATTCACAGCGATAAAGGTCTTGAATTACACATGGCACATATTGATCATTTTGTTTTTAAACTCTAATTCAAATGAGTTTTCTCTCATTTGAGAAATACATATTTTCCTGTCAGAGCAAAGTTTCACCCACTTGATTATTTTGACATATTACGCATGCCCCAGTGCAACAGTGACAACAAAACCGTGTTCACCCTGTTTTACACCTGTTGGCTAATATTCCCTGAACTACATGTCCCCCACACACAGCCGACTGCAGGAGAGAACAAGAGCAGAACAATCACACTGTGAACACCTGTTTAATACACATTACCAGAGATATTCTATTGAACTAAGAACATTTATATTCGTTAGATGAATTAGATATACACTTTCAAATCATTCGGAGAGGTTTGCAGTTTAGGATAAGCGCAAACATGTTGGGAACATAATATGGTTTGTTTAAAGGTAAACTTATGTTTTTACATGAAATGTAATGTCTTGAAGAAGGATGTATATTTGTATTATTGTGTTAAGTTTCACATTCACACACCCTAAACGCCCACATTACCCTGTAATGCCTCTGAATAAACATTACAAGCATTGCTGCTAAAACCGCACTAGTCCAGTTACTACGAGCAGCAGAAGTAGCTTTTCTACTTGCATACTAAATAGACAGACGCTCGCGTGACGATCGACGGCTGATTCGGCAGTACATCCATCATTAAAGCGAAACAGGAAAAAAATCTTCAAAGACATACGGAGAAGTCCGACTGGGTTTTTATCAGGTATCCGCGTTAGCTGACTGCAAGTGACGAATGGTACATATTGTTGTGTGAGTATTTTGTTTAAAACGCGCTTTCCAGTGTGGCGGATCGGCGAATGTGCAGACGCGGATCGCGCGCTAGCCCCTTTGTTCGCTCGCTTCAGTTCCTGGTGTGCTGATCAGAATCTATAAAGGACCCCGTTACTGAGCTCCAGCCCTTCTGGTCTGAATTAAGCCCATCTCAGTGTGAAGTCTTGCTCTCGGAGTGAGCGTGAAGCCCGCCGCGGACTCCCGAGTAGTAAGTGTTTACTACAAAACACGTTCACCCGCCAGAGATCCGTCTGTGTGGAGCACTGACACAGCAGCACATATAAACTCATACTTTACAGGATCGTATCCTTATACTTGACACATGTGTGAAGGAAAGGCGGGTCTGCATACAATCGGCCACTAGCAAAACTACCGTGAAGATAGCGTGTTTCTTAAATTCACCACGGTAACGCTACAGTACTCGAGTTGTGTGGAGTATCAGCTAAACGCATAGTATACGCTAGTCACGTGTCTGGAACTACAGTCCGCCGCTCCAGTCTCTTCAAGGCGAAAAACACGGATGTGGAAGGGATGCTGTGGCGTACTGGTTTGGTATTTGAACGGATAGAGGTTTGAACCTAAAGATGTCTATATAAAGACGGATAGAGGTTTGAACCTAAAGATGTCTATATAAAGTGATTTTCCCATTCATCTCAGTGGCACTTGCTTGGAAGCAGGCTATTATTGTTCAGCACTGGCTGGCTGATGGAACTACAGGTGCTATAAGATCATTAATACTGCCTGTGTTTGGGCTGCAGGTGTTGGTGCTCTGTCACTGCTCGCTTGTCAGCCGGCTCTACCAGAGCACTAGTTGTCCATTTAAATGTGTGTCAATGTGTCGTCCTCATAGATGTGAGCCGGGTCTGTTGGTGACGCTGCAGTGAGCATTCTCGGGATGGGGCTGGACTTTGACGTGAAGACGTTCTGCCACAACCTGCGGGCGACGAAGCCGCCCTACGAGTGTCCGGTGGACAGCTGCCGCAAGGTCTACAAGAGCTACAGCGGCATCGAGTACCACCTCTACCACTATGACCACGACAACCCGCCTCCGGTGATGGGTTTTGAAGATGATGTGGCAAATAGGATGTTGTTCAGTGCCGAGTATGTTTAGGTCAAAACTGACTTTCTGAATATATGTTTGTTGTTACAATCTTATGTAAACTCTAGTGATGCACTAATGCAAAATGTGAAATAGGCTTGCTTGAAACAAAATTTTTCTAAAAAAAAGGAGGGTAACTTAATGTTTTGATTAAGGATGAGGACACATGAATTAAATTGTGCATGGATGAAACATTTAAATATCTATCTATCTATCTATCTATCTATCTATCTATCTATCTAGATAGATAGATAGATAGATAGATAGATATAAAAAGCAATTATACAACAATTCTAGCAATTGTTTTTGCACTGATAGTTGTTATTTAAAATTATATCTCAATATGACGTGAAAGACAGCTGTTTTTTGAGAATTATTTGCTTTATTGTAGTTCTATGTTTCGCACAGTATTGCAGTCAGTATATGCTGCAGTTTGACAGAACCAGCGGCTGCTGTGAGCAGTAAACACACATGACACAGACAGTGTGGATGAGAGGTTTCTCCTGCGGTGTAAACCGTGCAGTGTTTGTGAGCGGCCAGAGCTCTGCCACTGACACAGCGAGGGCTGGCCGGGTGATAGTTTTCCAAATTTTAACGATATCATTCAATAATATATCTATATATTTTTGCATTTACACCCATCCCCCATGAAAAAGACATGATCATGATAGAACAGATATTGTTACCTACCTAGACATGTAATCTAGACATGGTGACAACTTAGTTGTTTACTAAATGAACACAAAGAACATTTAAAACCATATTTATTATATATATTATATTTACCAATGTAAAAAATAAATACAAAAAATGATACAAAAAGAAGATCAACAAAAAAAACACATTAAGAAGAAGAAACCCGTTACATGGAGTAAGCGTCAGGTCTGTTAGTTTGCTCTAAATGCACTGATCTGTTCACAGCTTCAGATTTGATCTCCAGTCCGTTGCCGTGGTTACCACTGTCCGTCATCACGCGTTCAGAAGCGATCCAGCATGTAAATACGGTTGTCAGTCCAGAAACTCCACAGTGAGTAGCTAGCAGCATGACAAATCAAACTTTCATTGCAATAGTGGATGGGTTTTAAACGGAAAGCTCCTATCACTGACGGAGCTCTATTATCATCAGTGAAGCTGTCTGCACTTTACCTGCTGTTTGCATTTGGTCAGTTATAATGAAAGGATTTGTGATTGTGTAGAACAGTCCGTACTAATGTTGAGGACGGATCTGAAATGAGATTTTGCGATGCTTTGGACGGTGAACTTGTCCTTCATTCTCCACATCCTGGATAAAATCTGAATCTCTCAGAAATGACACATTACAGGAGTATAGCATTGTGAACGTTGTTGACCTGGAAGGTATGTCTGGTGTATCTGTGTGAGGTTTGAGGGCTGAATGCAGCACCCTGACGCCTGCGTCTCCTTCACCTCCTCTCAGGTACATCGATAAGTCTGCTGAGGAGCTGGATGAGGAGGTGGAGTACGACATAGACGAGGAAGACTACATCTGGCTGGACATCATGAATGACAAGCGGCGCGCTGACGGGGTGGTGCCCATCCCTCAGGAGGTCTTTGAGTACCTGATGGATCGCCTGGAGAAGGAGTCCTACTTTGAGAGTCACAACAAGGTGAGCTGCGCTTCAGTCAGTCTGAGAGCTGCTCTCTAAAGGAGGCTTCCACACCCAGCACAGAGGAATGAAAATAATGCTTTAAATCTGACGCTGAGAGCTGATTCATATTTATGTAAAAGAGCTGTTTAGACTTTAATCTCTAATTGTCAAAATGTCATGATTTGTTGAACAAGCAAAAAAAAAAAGTAGCTAAAATAAGCAGATGTGGATGACTGGGCTATTCGATTCAATTATAATCACAATCCTTTTAGTCAGTGATTTAAGTCATGTTGATTTAAGAGAATTAATTATTTGACTTTTGAAAACATCACGCGATATGACAAATATGACCGTTTTTTCCCCTTGATAACAATATAGGCCTACATATACTTCTGTTTAGTTTTTTTTGCTGGAAATAAGGTTGATGCGATACCAACATTTTAAATGCTATTGAAATGTCACAATACTGATTGACAATAATGTTACTCAATAACAAGTTACTCCGTCAAGAGCAGTGAGTGATTCCTTTTTTGTTTTGTTTGATTAACATAAAATGGTTTACAATCACTTAAAAGTGATCCAGTTTACCCAAAAATTAAAATTCTGTCATTTACTCGTTCTAAACCATTTCATTAGACTTCGAAACACAAATACAACGCAAGATATTTTTAATGAAACCTGAGAAATTTGATTCTTCAGAAAGTTAATAAAGTAAGTGGTTGAACCCACGTCCTCTGACACGACTGCTTTATGATGCGAACAGATTGAATTTAGGATTTTATTCATTTATAAGCATTGATCAACACACATAGACTAATGGTAAACTGCAGCTCAAATGTGCTTGCTTGCCGCACAAGAACCAATGAGCTTTGTGTGTATATGTGATGTGTTCATTACAGGTATTTAAATAAATAAAATCAGTTTATCGTATAAAACAGTCGTATCTCTTCGTAAGACTTGGACAAAACCAACTTGATTCATATGGATTATGAGCTTTCTGAAGCGTCAGAGTTTTAGTTTTTGGGTGAACTACCCCTTTAAGCCATAGCTCGCTGTGTTTACAGGAATACTCACCAAGATGGGCATTTTGACACAATTCTGTGAGCGTTTGACCGTGCAAGTATGTGAAGACCTGGCTGTGTGACAGATTGCTTCATGTGTTTCAAAGACGGAAACCAGAGTGTCATTTATCTTAATTATCTCGTGTTCATAATCGTTGGAAGTCAAAATTGTGATTGAAAATAACATTTGATTAAGCTCTAGATGACATCACTGTTGACATTTGGCTGGTCTCATGGATTGGGGCACACACTCAC